TTCAGCCGCCTCCAGCATCCTTGAGGCTGACTGAGGTCGCTTTTGATACCGTTAGGACTTTGGGAGTTAAATTAAGATAAATTTCCTCCCACACCTTTGCCTTTTTTGCCAACTTTTACTGTCATAGCCTTTGCCTTCCACTTCTGGAAAGTCTCTACCCAATTCGGCTACTAAACTGTTTTTCTTGTTCGCTGAAATTTGTTGTGCGACTTGTTTTAGAAAGCCATGTTGCAAAGACATGGTTTAGCCATTGACTCGAGAAAACACGGTTCAGTGGCGTTTCAATAATAAATTTTAAATATCGTTTAGCCATTATTTATCGAGACAACGTCTAGCCCGCGGCTCAGCCCTAAACAATGGTAACGCTTCGTTTAAATAATCGGCCCGATATGTTTAAAGAATTTTACAGAGCGGCATTCTCGTATGTACCCAATATAATAACCCCAAACAATTTAACATAATCGAGACGATCTTACAAACAATTGTAAACAGAAAAGGGCTTGTTGGACGGAGAAAAGAAGTCGGTCGTAAGCTATGTTTATTCTCGTAATATTCGCCACTGGTTAAACCCCGTCATGCATATCAATGCAGGCGAATGAAGTCGTCAAAACCCAGAATTGGCCTTTTTTTGTAGTTCTTTTGCAGAAGACTGACTAAGATGTCTCTATGCAATAACAAAGAGATAAGGCTTTTTTTACCTGGTGTCCATCTCCCAGTGCAGTGCTCTTCTATGAAGTTGGAAAATTTTCATTAAATCATAGTTTATGTGAAGCTAATTTTAAGTTTAGTTCTGACAACAGCTTGCCACCTCAGTTCGTTGTTTTACTGAAAACTTTTATACAATTGCAACCCCGCAAAACACAACCGTTAACTTACATGTACGCACGTAACTTGCGCAAAAAAGACAAAAGATTCTTATCGAAACAGTGGAACAAATTAACATAATGCGGCGTCAAACTTCTACAGGCGGTTTCTAAAGTCTATGAACCGATAAAGTTATTAACATGAGATATTAAAATTAGGCAGGGGCGAGATACACTCGTCAACTCAGTATCACTATCATCGCTGACCGGCTAACCGAGTCAGTAATTGCTGTCTTCATCGTGTATCGCAGAGAAAGGTAAGTTCAGTCTGTTTAATTTGGGGGCCTTTTTATACATACCAGAATATTTTTTCTCCTCCTTTATGCCTCCACGGGTCCGCTAACTCGATGGCACGATATTGGTATTAGATATCATGCTTGCATGGCGCCCTTGACTTTACTGAACAGTTCAATATTTTTGTGTGATGTGAAGTTGTTCAGTGTGGTTCATAAATACAGCATCGTCATACAAACGCATTTCAGCTCTCGCAATCATTTCAGCATTTGCAACGCTTACCCCAAGCCCTAAAGCGGCCATATTGATTATTCGAATGGTGGAACATGGAATGTTGATTATTAACTCCTAAAGACAAACGAGGTTAAGTAATTTAAAACTTTGTAAAAACATAATACAAAACAAAACGGTGCCAAACTGTTATCCTAATTCTATTTGTATTCACCCAAAATTTCGAGTGCAAATACTTATATACGCATCATTTCAATAGCCTGTGTCGCAGCCGCCTCTCCCCGGAAAAAAATCGTGTGACACAGGTTACATTTCAATAATGAGCGAAGCGCGCGAGTAACGTTACTTGAACTCAGACAAACTCATACAAACAAAACGGAATGGTGGAAGATTTAAAGCTTTTTCAAGCTCGAAAGCAAGTGTTCCTAAAACAACTTTTAAAACGAAAATTTGGCGTTCATTTTCCTCCTATTTCTTTCAGAACACGCGTATGTTTTATGACTCTCGCGAGGGTTCCAATAATTTGCATTGTAGTTAGACTTCGCGCGTTTCGTTATTGAAAAGCATTTTTTGTAACCGCAGCTGATCGTAAATTGAAAAACACCCTGTTCCTCACGTTAGCATGCATCATCATTTCATTTGCCCAAAAGACGTCCATGCGAAATAGCCCAAGACTGGTTCGCACTTAGCTTTATTACCCTAGTATAAAACATATCGAACATTTCACACATGAATGCGTGTACTCATTGAATTTTCATGACATTGTGTGAAAACATCAAAATTAGCATTGTTTATTGATGGGTCGCATCTTTGTGTTCATATTTTGCATTCTTGTCTCAGTCTTATACGCTCCAATAGACCTTTTTCAATATATTAAAATTCAGCTTGGCAGTGAGGGCTAGAGCCACACAAACAAAGGAAATCGAATGACCACGTTTATTCATTTCTTTTGTTTGTGGCCTATTGAGCAGGCATAGGCTTCTTATTCTTCACAAACATAGAATACATTTTACTACGAGACAAGCTTTTAGTGTTTCATTTGTTGATTTTGGCACAGAGATATCTTTCCCTGCTTTGGTTAGTAGTAAATTATCATGACTATTACATGGTGTGTCTGCTGGCGATACCTTATGTCAAAAAGAGACACAGGCGTACGGGTTAGCAGGNTGGCCTGGTGCCATATGTGGGTTGAGTTTTTTGTTGGTCCTCACCTTGCTCCAAGGTTTTTTTTCCAGGTTTTCCGGTTTTCCTTCCTCTGCCAAAACCAACATCTCTAAATTCCAATTTCGACCTGGATAGAGGGCCTGCATGAAAACCAGCGAAGGCTGATGTGGGTTCCCCTCTAACTATTGTAGTTTTTTTTTTATTGTTGCGACTTCCATGAAATCATTTTCACGCATTTCCAGTGACCAAATACGTTACTTTCACTAAATTTATGTACACGGCTTGCTCGTCCAGTTAAGAAGTTCTTTGCTAGTTATGACGTCGTACGATTGGTGACGTCATTATCAAACTCGCTATTTTCGGAAAGTCAGACGTAAAGTAACTGACTTGTTGCAAAACTGTTAGAAAAGTGATATTTATTGTCTAAAAAGACGAAATTTGGCTAAACCTGCACGCCAAAATGCGGTTGTCATGGTCATGTCAATTGACGTGGGGAAACAGCTGACATGTTTACACATTTATGCGAGTGAGTAATAAACAACTGCTGAAAGTTTCAGCGTTACCGCGTAAATCCCTTTTAGAAAAAAAAAAACCTAGAATGGGGCGGGAGGAGAACACCCATAAAGGAAGGGGGAGCTCGTCGGAAATTTTGAAAAGAACCCTAGATCTTGTTATGTGGGCGTGGCTTGAAATTTTTTTCTCCCCTAAGAGGTATCGATCTCCAAACATATTTTTTTTCGGCTCAATAGCCTAAAAGGTACCTCAAAAGCCCTCGCTGTGAACCATTTGGGGCTGAACACCCCCAAGAGGTACCAAAACCGCATTTTCAAACCCTAAAAGGTACGTAAAGCACCCCCGTCCTTTTTTATATGGGAACCCCCGCCCCCAGAGATCGGAGTGGCACCACACCTCCTCACACCAGCCGAGTCAAAATCAGAAACGGGGTGAAGCAAAACTAGCTGGTTTAAAAAAAAAAAAACAAACATGACTAAACCTTCATTGATTATTTTTAATGTCTTAATTGAATTTCGTTAAAGGTATGATGGCTGAAAATGAAAGAGAGAAGCTTACATCAAAAGACGAAAAGCGCTCATTTGAGTTTGACGACATTTTCGAACACGTGGCCTCTTTTGGAAGATATCAGATACTTTGGCTCGTCTTCGTTGGTTTTGTGTTGATTTTTCCAGTTACAGTTCAATTTACATTGCTGGCGTTTGCAAATGGTACTCCAAACTTCCACTGTGTCACGCCAAACATCACATGTGAAACAAAGAAATGTTGTGACGGATGTACATCATACGAGTTTGACGGACCATTTCAAAGCACCGTGTCGGAGGTATGTATTTGAGTTAAACAGCATTGTCTTCATAGTGAAAGGCTATAGATAGACCTGACATACCTCTTACTAACCGAGTTCGAAGACCGTACCGCAAGTTACGGACCGAGTTTTTTCCCCATCGACTTATGGCCCAAGCGCGAAGCGCGCAAGCCATAAATTGAAGGGGAAAAACGAGAATCCGTAACTTACAGTACGGACTGAGAAAACGACGTTACTAAGATATTCATTATATCTCTACTGTGTGTATGACGGCTTCCGGAAAGATTTTTATTCACGCAGAACGGCTTCAAATTTCTGACGCACCTCGAAAGCAAAACGAGTCAATTTGAAATCGTTGTTATCGGACTTTAGGTTTTAATACACAATTTCAGAGGTAAAAGAAAGTTTTGAACGTTTACTTGCTTAAATAGTTAAAAACACTTAGTGATAAATCACGACACATTTTGGCAACAAAAGCAACTTTAAATTTTAGCGGGCCGTACCGTAGGATACGGCCTGCTAATTTGACCAATCACAGCGCGCGTACTAAATGAGAGATATTATAATAATAAGAAAGACAATTACCTATCATTTGAGTCATCCAAAAGTACTATTAAACTGATTATATGTCATATAACAACATACAATCAAATGAACAAAGGAGGAGGGTGTGACGAATAGACCGATAGCTTTTTTCGCTTTGTTTTGTTGGGATTAACCTACACTCGCCATATGATCGCGCATTTTAGGAGAGAACGCTCTAAAACACACGAGGAAAGAAATAAGCTCCGGCGAACATCACTTGGGTAGTGGAAACCAAAACTCGTCTCAATTTCTTGGCAGTTTCATTAGGGTGAAATCGAAAGCTTTACAGTTTGGTTAGCTTGTATGTTCCTATAGTATCGCCTAATTTGATTTGTTTTATTTCATCATGAACTTTACTGCAGTGCCCAATGAAAAAAGTTTTCAAAAAACCTCTCGCCACAAAAAGAAGACAAAATGGAATGAGATTTTCGCAGTCTAGCATACGAACTTAAACGATTGAAAAATAAAGCCTGAAAAAGACTTAGGTTGTAATATGATTGGAACCTGATACAAACGCTTTCTCACTGAGCTAGGAAATCACCAGTAAAGTAGCCGGGCTTTAGACCTTAAACAAGTGAATAAAATTGAAAATTCTTTGGGCAAAAACTCCTTAATAGGTCACTTTTCGATTTTTAAAATTCAGCTTGATAGTAAGGCCTAGGGGACAAAAACAAAAGAAATGGATAAACATGTCATTCAATTCCCTTTGTTTGTGTCCTCTAGACCTCACTGCCGAGCTGAATTTTAATATCTCGAGAACATTCTATTGAACATTTTGTTTTTGCTTGTCTAAGTGGAACCTCATTTGTGACCGTGGTTTCCTGGGTGCTACTGTTCAGTCCGTTTTCTTTGCTGGGATGCTGATTGGTTCGTTTTCAACCGGGATCATTTCAGACGCCTGGGGCCGGAAGAAGTGCATTTTCGCCAGCATGGCTATAATGGTAAGTTCAAAATTATATTCAACCTTGCTTCTCAGAATGTTGCCCAGAAACAAGGTCAGCTGCAGGTGAATACACGAGAAATACTACAGTGTCATAACAAAATAAATGGTTACGTTATATGTGAAATCAACTGAGTTCTTCCGAAAGGGTTTTCGTCTGTAAACATGCGCTAAAATTGCAGTATTTAGATAGGAAGCCATATCAGCGTCAATTGGTTTTCATGCGGATCCTCCATCCTGGTCGAATTGGCATTTGGAGATGTCGGTTTTTATAGGGAGAAAACAAGAGAACCCGGAGAAAAACCCTCGCTGCAAGGCGAGAACCAACAACAAAACTCAACCCACATATGGCACCGAGCGGGAATCGAACCCGGGCCACATTGGTGGGAAGCGAGCACTCTCACCGCTGCACCATCCCTGCGACCCATAAATTTGCACTCAGAATTCGCTTAATGTGTCCAGCTTGTTAACGACGACTCGACTCCTGACACTATATATTACTCTTTTTCTCCTGCAGATTATAGCAGGAGTCGTCACGACGTTGGTTCATTCTGTCGCTCTCTTCGCGGTATTTCGTTTTATAGTTGGCTTTATACTAACGGGAGTCATGCTAACACAATATGTTTACTTCATGGAGCTGGTTGGGCCAAGCAAGAGAACAGCTGCTGGGAATCTGCAATTTCTGTTTTTCAATGGCTTTCAACCATTGTTTATCATCATCGCATACTTTATTCGTGATTGGAGAATGCTGACCTTGGCGGCCACTCTCCCTGGGGCACTGTTGTTTCCTTTTTGGAAGTAAGTAACGAACAGACGTAAGAGAACCCCTCAACCCCATTGTCAATCTTGCGCCACAGATAAACCCTTTCATACCAGAATGTCGGAAGCATGCTGAGGCTTGCTGAAATCAGCAAAAGCCCCTACTTCTAACTCCTTCCCTTCAAACAACTCTCCCTTCCCACGCCCAATCATCTGCCGCTCCCCCTCCAGTCAGGATGAATATATCTCTTTTTCTTTCACGGATGCCGCCGTTAAAAAATTAATTGCAGGTACGTATTTCTTTTCCAGGATTTTTCCAGAATCCCCCCGATGGCTCATTGCTCATGATCGCCTAGACGAGGCTCAATCTATCATCGAGCGTTTTGGAGACAAAAATGACAAACCTGTAGACTCAGAGGTGCTGAGAGCGCTCCTGGAGAACGTGAGGAGAGACCAGTTAGAACGGGAACGAGAAGCTAAGAAATACACACCGATTGACTTGTTTCGCACGCCAAAGCTGAGAAAATGGGCGGTGATATTTTGCTACCAGTGGTACAAAAGCCAGCATTTTTTAAATTATTAACCTCTTCGTTTTTTTTGTTCATTCAGTAATTAATTCATTCTTCTCTTTCTGTGCATGTTGTTCTGTTACTAAATGTTTTATTCTGCCATTTAATCTTTCTTCGTTGCGCTCGAGAAGCTGAGAAGCCGAAAATTAATCATTATCATTTTTAACCAGGAGGCAGAGTTGTATAGTCAAACTAATAGCATCGGGCGCTGCTGGATCAAGTCCGTTTTCTGAAGTTGCCCAACGGTTGTTGTAACCAAATTAGTCCTGTTACTTTGTGGTTCAATTTTCGTTCATATCCTCCGCCCATTATTATTATTATCATTGTAGGTTTGCAGTGGCTTTGGTCAGTTTCGGGATATTTCTATTTGTCAACCAGTTGGTCGGTAATATCTACGTCAACTACCTTATAATGGAGGGAATCGCAGTTTTGAAGCTCCCAGCCACGTGGTACCTATTCTTAAAGTAAGAAATGGATTTTACGTCTCTTCCGCGAACATTTGTTGTTTGATCACTATCTTACACGTGTACGGTATTTAATTTCTTGTCAGATTTGGTCGCCGCTCTTGTCATAGCATCACCATGTTCCTAGTGGGAATAACATTCTTTCTGGTTTTGCCTCTGTACAAAGGTAACAGAATAGACATGAATTGAAGCGTTGTGATTTCGCAAGAGAGGACGAAAGCCATTAAGAGAACTACCCCACCCCCACTCCCCGCCCCCCTCAACATAGGCTTTATTCCCAGAGTAACGTCTTTGAACTAATTTTCTATTAGAGATGGTACCATGCATATTCTTCCCGCGGGTAATTATGTCTCTATTTATGGGGATTTCCTTTCCTACCCTTCATGTTCTGACACTTGGACTTGTTCCTGGTTTGACCACCCATTTAGCTCCCTAGTACCACGGTTGCGAGTAATAGTTTTCTTAAAACCATCATTTCGAAGTTTGTTGATAGACACCGTGTCCAGCGATTATTTCGTGCTTCAATCTGCACCCCAGTGTAGTTCAAGCTTGTGTTTTGTTCCTGGATGACAGCACAAATTAAACTCCCAATTGATCTGTCTCTATACCGCCGACTTGTTAAAGAAACCTGTTCATGACAACACCTGGGAAATAACCAAAGGACTGGCATCCTATTTCGATCCTATTTATGACAAGTAGCAATCTTTGTTACTCTGTTGCATGGGCAACAACTCCACTCAGCACTTTTTTCATTTCAGATCACCCCATGGCAACCACAGCACTGTCCGTGACTGGGTATCTGTTTATTGACTGCACTTGGATCAGCGTTTATCTCATCACTTCAGAACTTTTTCCAACTGTGTTAAGGTAGGTCCCAAACATAACTTAACTACAACAATCAGAAGAGTACAATTTATGTCAGTGGAAGAACTTTGTAAGTGGGAAGCTGGCGAACCAGCCCCATACTTGCTTTTGACACCTTCTTAGAATGGTGTTGTGCGGTGGTGGAGGCAGATTTGAGAACTTCCTTTGTTCTGGGGCGCCTATATCACTTAAGTGCACCAGTGTCCTGTGTGCTGGGCGAGTTTATCTCGCGACAAGGCTTTGCAAGGAAAGGGGAGAGTTTGGGACCCACTTGCAACCTTTAAATTTACCGTTCTTCTCCTCGTGTCGCTTTCTCTGCACTAGTTCAGAATTGGGGTCACAGTCTGGAGACCATGGCCCTTAGTTACAAGCAAAATATTGCAATGTTTTGTAATTTCTCTGTACAGTTGTTTTTTGACCGTAATTTCTAATGATATCTTCAGAAATACAGCTCAGGGAACTGGATCTACGACGGCTAGGATTGGAGGAGTCTTGGCTCCTTATATCGCCTTGATGGTGAGTGTGCTCTGTAGCTACTCCATGAATTTAAGGTGACTGAGATATGTAACATCAGTGCAGTTTACTCAGTGCATTCTGACAGATTCTTATTCATGAGTATGATATCTATGCAAGAGAAATTCTTAGCAAAAAAGCCATCAAAGTTCTTTCGGTAATAAATCGATCCTTCTCTAACACGGACGATACAGCAACAATTATGATTAAGAACAAACTCTTTAAGGCCCTGGTTAAACCTGTGTTACTTTTGCAGAGCTTGGGCGGTACCCTTTTAAGCATCGACATAAAAGCAACAATCTTCAGCGATTCGTAAAGATTGGAGCATTACAGTAACAAGGTTTTGTTACGAGAAGCATTTCAATATGCAACAAAACATACAACTTTCTTTGACATTTAACAGAATGAAGAAATCATGCAATAAAAAAGTGTAAAGTAAAAGAACCAGCAACCCAGCAACACACCGCATCAAGAATGCACGATTAGTTATAAAAACCCTCAGGAATCAATATTTACAGAACTGGCTTCAAACCCAGAATAGGTCGTAAACAAGTTCAAGAGAGAAATTTACACAAAAGGAAGTTAAAAATTATCATCAATTTGAAAACTACCTGACATTAATTACAAAGCCAGCACACAGAATTAGTCTGACAAGGCTTAGATTAGGATGTCATGCATTACGAATACAAACTGGCAAATATGAAAATAAAGGAGCATTAATCCCAGTAGAAGAGCGAACATGCTTAGTATGCAAAGAAAATTGCATGGAACATGAACAACATTTCTTGATGTATTGTCGGGTGTATCACCACATTAAGACGTGAGCTGCACTCATATATTTCAAACGCTGACACCCATTACCCCAGTTTAAGTGATAACGAGAAGACGAAGTATTTACTTAGAGCAGAAAACACAGTTACATCTAAAATTATAGGAAAATATATCCATTCAATGTTTCAAAAAAGGAAAGAGATTCTTGGTTCGCAAATGTAATAAGCGCTATGAAGTTTTCTAATTAATTGTAAACGGATATGGTAAATGTTATTTTGTATTTTTGTTAGTTAATGTTCAAACCTTTGTTGTATTTAGACCAATGCCTCTCTTCGCAGAGTAAGGCGTAATAAAGAATACCATTATTACTATTACTAGTCAGTCAGTCAGTCAGTCAGTCAGTCAGAGGGTCAATCAGCCAGGCAGTCCAGTAATTTCGTTAAAGCATTTTTCTCTTGGTAATGAGCTGGTGCATTGTCCTTTACGTCCGACAGGCTCAGTTACCAGGTCTCAGCATTGCGTTTCCAGTGGTCATTTTTGCCGTTGTCGCAACTCTTGCTGGGATATTGATGTACTGGATTCCAGAGACGGTCTTCTCACCAATGCACCAAACCATCGAGGAAACAGAAGCGGCTGAAGATGATTATGGGATACCATGTGGTGGCAAAAGGCTCCACCTTCCCAGGCATAAATCACGCCAAGTAATATGGCTTTAAAAGAAGGATCGAAGTAAAATGGGCGAGGGGATTAGGCAAATTTAGAGGGCAACTTTAGTAGCGCAGCCGCGTTACCGATATGGTTAGCGCTGAATGTATTTCACGAGGGCTGTACAGGGGGTCTCTGGCACTGTTCACGGACAGAAAAAATTGCGAATCAATGATCGCGGATGTAAAAATTGCATTTTCCCGAATCACGAAAATAAGCAAGTAAGGTACCCTTTTTAATAACCTGCTCTTACTCTAGAAAGAGTATTTGAAGAAAGGAAAATCGTTATATCCCTGTACGACCCTCATCACTTTAACTATCGTTATTGAACTGTTGTAATCCACTAGGATAATTTTCTATCGTGCATTGTTAATCGAAATATGCTCTCTTGCGAGCATAGCCCTTTACGAATACCAGCGGACTCGAACCTACTCGCAAGAAGATGGAGGAAGTAGACCCCAATTTACAGTATAAACGTTACTGTTATAGATCCAGAAACACGTCCATGACAGTACAGGTGTTATATGCCTGGTCAAGGCGAGCAGCATCTTAACCTGTTGAATTCATTGACAGAAATTTGAAAACATCGTGGCGAGTTCAAGGAACCTGAGGGAGCATCCGGCTAAAAGCGTTTACCACAATCTCACACCGGTGCTTACAGAATGGTTTCCATTCCACAGCAATAGTATTTTGAGGAAATAGTTGCAGATAACATTGGAGCACGCAGTTGGAGGGTTCTCTTTCGCCCGCTCTTCTTGGGGTTGATAAAATAGCCTTAATTACAGCTTTCCTCAAGATGACGCTACTTAGTAGGGACATCCCTTTGCGTGATGATATTGGTTCTTCTTTTCCATATGAAATATTGTACCGTTTTTTTCTTTCATTAAGTCTTTTCAGTTTAGTTAGTGAGAAAACAAGTGTCGTTGCCTACGAGTAGAAACTATGAAAATAAGCTAAGCGTTATCAAGTACTGAAATACGGATAATATTAATCCATGAAATTTGCGTCGGAAAAAATTAATATCACTATGTATATGACAAAATATATAACTAAATAAAGCCCCATGCATGCACAGTTCAGTTAATTGCGTGGTTCTGTTTCATAATAATACAGCTTTTTTAATTAGTCATCTGGGGATTCAAAATCCAAACTGATCGCCCAAAATGGATCTTGTGAAGGGTGCATTCAAACGCAAGACCATGCACCCATTGTCTGTATCTTTCATCACGGATTTGTGGTCCAGAACTAAAATGGGCAACAAAAGAGCATTACAAGATGTTTAAACGTTTTCATGGAAAGTAAGTGTGAAGACAAGCCGTTAGTAAATATTGTGTGGAATTATCAACTTGTAAAACAAGTCGACGAAGCATTAATTTAGATAATTTAAATAAGCAATTTCCCCAGAAAGAATGAAACAATAAACTTTTATCAGCTTCCTGCCAGAGAGGATTTCCTGCAATAGTTGAAGGCTCACTTGACAGGTTGGAGAAAGGATAGTTAATACCGGTCTAAATCAATTTCTGGTCAACTACAGTGGTAACTGTAGAAGAAGACGTGGTGGTCTGGGCCACCAGCTCAGCCCTTACTTAGCTCTGTTGTTACGAACAACGAGCGAGCGACTGGCTAGTACGGGTGCCAAGATAGAGGAATCATAAGAAAGAGAAGACACCTTCATGTCCTCCTTTGCCTTCCCATTATATCTTTGCATTAAAAACAGAGTTCTGGGTTCTAAACAGTGAAAATCTAGTGGCTACTCCTTTCGACTTTCGACTTTTTTTTGGTCGACTCGGGCAGTGCCGCTTTTTGCATCACAGGGGAAAAAGTAGCGTAGATCTTTAGTTTTGTTGTATTTGCGCGATAATGCTAGGCGGTAAATTGCGATGGATTGATATCGCGCATACTATTTTGGAAGAAGGGTAACAAAACAAAAATGGTTATCTTCACTTCTTGCTGAAGAACAGGAGTAACAGTCACTAAGCACAAGTTTATCAGGCAAGACCTCAAAACAATGGCAACTACTCAGTCAAGAACCGGGAAAATGATATCATTTCTCATTCCCACACAATATGGAAATATCAAGACATTTTATTTTCCTGGAGTAAAAAGACAATTTTTTTTGTTTGTTTGAGGAAAGTTAATAAGAGAATATACTAAAGTAAGGAATCTGATTTATGAAATGAATTTACAATTTTATCTTTTCATTTACACTGAACACTTTTTCTGATAATCTTGATTATTCCCTAATTACCTACAACTGTAGACTTACATCTGAAATTTCGCTTCAGCAATTTTTTGATAACTTCAAATGATCTAATAGGAGTTTTGAAATACTTGGTGATTTTACAAAGTTTGATATCGGGTTCCAATCGGGCAGTATGCAACGGGTAGAACTGCTACTATTTACTGGAAAAGTTACGTTTTAAGCAAGGTTATAATCCTTCCTACATGTACTAACGATCAGAGTCGCCAGCTAGGCAAATGAATCTAAGATGTAAGCATAAAATTTAGCTATTATAGAGGAATCTGTTCGTTTTTCCGTCAAAATGATCAAGGCGCCGGTGGTTTAATAATTTCGAGATTACCTTGAAAATCGCGGTAACACAATTCCAGCAGCCACTGATATAATTTTACTTTGCATCACAAGCGGAACCAATACAGCAATGCTTCTATTTTAAAACGACAGTGTTGTCCATCAATATGAGAAGAGGAGCAATAACTGCACATAGTGCAATCTCTATATGGAAAATCCCAACAGCACCATTCCAGTTTGGAGACCTAACCGAAACAGCCATTGTCTGTGGGTTGTCACACGATTTATCAGAACAGGTTGCCAAGGACTTGACCCAAACATTGGACTCATGAACCTGCACGAACAGTCGCCCTTCTTTTATAGCGGAAGCAAATTCTAACATGGTCTGGTCGAAATTAACAGATGGAGTCGATGTATTAACAATACCCAGCGATTTTTTGTCTACCAAGACAATGATGATGTGTAAGGTTTCTGGATCACCAGAGTTTGCACCATTGGCCGGATGGGCAATCCAGTCCATAACATCCGTGTTCCACTTCAAGGTACCTGCTATGGCTAAGCCAACTCCATCTGCGAACCTACTCCTGGCATCAGCTTCTGAAAGGGAATCACTGGAACGTCTTTTGCGTTGTGAAAACGTTTGGATTTCTAGTTTTGCCACTTTAACTGGGTACGCACTTCTTCCAATAAGGCATTTACGAATCTGACTGTGTAAACCACATTTGGTTCCTATGTTCCACATTCCTTTGATAGACTCCCAAGCTGTGTCTAACTCGGTGAAAGAGCCCTTGATGGTCCAGAAGATCTTGAAGTATTCCCAGCAACCGAGATCACAAACTGATGGCACGCCTCTGCCAGGACGCAAGTAACATGGACTGTGAGAAGCAAACGCCGTCTTTCGTATCTCTTGGCACGTTGGCTTCATCCACGGACGTAGCAATGGCACAAGAACGACCTGTAGGCATTTACGAACACCGTCCACCCACATCTGCCCGTCTGCACTGAATAATGTGTATCGCTTGTCGTACAACTTGCAAAACTTTTCAGCGTATCGTATGGCGTAGGCATTGCTCGTAGCTTCACAAGGATACTTTTTCTCCAAGCAGTTGCGATACCAGTCGCAAGAACTACCAGAGGGGCTGTAGCATTGCGAAGGTAAAGACGTGTTCGTTGAGAGATTGTATGGACTGAATGTTGAATTGGCATTTTTGCAAGAACAGACCTCTGACACTGGGCCAGAAGTTTTGTTATGCACTTCAAGCATACACTGGTACAGGCAGTAAGTTGCAGTGGGGTCTTCACAAATGTGCCTTTGTCCACTTTTCTGTTGGATATAGGTATTAGTGAGGCAGGTTGACCACTGATATCGGTTGTAATTCTCTAGTTGAACGCATTCGGCAACTCCTGATGGACCCGAATCTTTGCCACACTGAGAAGCCCATCCGCTTTGTGCCAGGAAGAACAGGACAATTAACGACCTCATCTTAATCTGTATAAAGTACACATTGATGTTAAAAAAAATTTAAAAAAGACTTCGAATTACCAAACAAATGTCACTTAATGAAAAGATCAGTCGAAAAAAGTGACTGAGAACAACAGATCTAGAAAGATTTTGTACCGCACATATGAGGAAATAATGATTTTAGGCAATGTCTTTTCCGGTTACATTGTTTAATTACCTGCATGAAGCGCACACTGTCCTCTTTACCTAAAATCAGCCCTGCCGGTGGCTAATCAGAAGCAATAATTTTGTTATTTACCTTAATTTAGTAAAGTAATGGCAGGCGTTTGGTGGTATGTGTCGATATATGACACTGATTTACAACAGAGTGAATGCGTAATGAACGTGTCCCACTTAATTTTTTTACAGTCGATCACGTTAGGTCACAGACGCCATTTAAGCGTTGTATCTGAGCAGAATAAAAACGTTGCTTTCAGATAAATTTATGCTTTTTTTTTCCCGTGCTCTTTCGAACGCTATTTCGTGCTTGGCCGTAGATGAACATAGTTACCCATTTCATTTTCGACTCCTTCAAATTCCATTTTTCGACCAGAGCAAAAGAAAAATGCCATTTCTAGTTTGAAAATAAATGTCAGCACTCAGTAAAATGTCCAGAAGTATTAACGACTCGACTGTTTTCACAATTTTTTTACAGATACAAAGAAACAATGAAGTAAACGCTTTGGACTTTTTTACAAACGGCTCTGCGATGACCCGCGTTGGTTTGCGTGATGGTTTCGTATGTGAGGGCGGCGTTATTGAGGAGCAGGTGTCGAATGACCAGTGTCGTGATGAAAAAGACAAAACTGTTCCGTGCAACGGTTTACTCAATCAAGGGGATATCATTAACTAAATCATTGGCTTCTATGCTTAGCAATCGTTTGGAAAAACCCTTTAGTTTGATAAAAGCTTTTAGAAGGGGAAAGGTCTCGGGACAGTCAGGAGACAGGCTGAAGCATGCAACTAGTGGTGCCTACTTATTTACCCTCCAACACTTTCGGGGATGCATGTGTACTATTAATACCCAACCTTTCTAAGGCGCCTTCACAGTTTCAGACGCAGAATAGAGCTTTCAAATTTAAGTTTGAATACCAACTTACCCAGTATATCGCTCTGTATACCAGAATGATAACCGCACTGACCCGCTCGTTAACACAACTATAATTCGATTGAGTAATATGCTATATGTACGACTGATTGACAGGCAAAATACAGATCACGTAATGTGTTAACAGCGAGCAGTACTTTGATGGCACGTTGCCTTCTTACAGGAAGCCGAATATAAACAATATAGGCAACAAAAAACATGGTTTTAGCTTCATTTTGGTCCAAAATTTGACTATATTATGTGACATTAGTCTGTGATTGTGTAAAGGTTTTCGGAAGAAACATTTTCCCCCTCGCTTAACTAATGAATTTCTCATCCCTGTCATAATTGCGCAAGCCCTTTTTGGGTGGCTGACAATCACGTGCTACACATGAGTGCTAATTCTTATATTTGGGTCTAAAATAGGTTATCGATTTTTAATTTTAGATGATGAAACACATAAATATATCACCTCTTTCGGGCGGGAACAGGGCAATAGTTTTCCGAATTAAAGTACCGCCCAGCTCGCGACCTCTTTCTCCCTTCGCTCGGCGCAGTATTCTACCTTACTTCAGCAGGCAAGTCATATACATTACACAAGGTCCAGTTTAAATTTTTAGAATAATTTAAGCATGTAATTAAAGCTTGCACACGGATTCTGAGGGGGTGTACCCTACGCAAGCAGTATATCGCTGTATATGACATTTTGCAATCTTTTGCTCTCAAAGTGCAGGCGGAATTAGCACTTGTTATCTACAATCAATGATGGTAGAAGCTGATACAGGGAAAAGAAACGCAAGACATTTAAAGAAAAACCTCCAAGGTGCTATTGTGTCAAGTGGTAAAGGTCAGTTTATACGATTTTCAAGTATTACAAACGGTAAACAAATATTTCGTAATGTGGTTCTTTATGGAAATATTTGGACCATTGCAAAACCTTCAAACGCTATATAACGAATTTGACCCTCCGGTTTACAATTCATCGAAATCCGCTGAGACCTTAAAAATCAGGAAATGAACAAGGAGCTTTTCGACCGCATGCGCTTGTGATTTCGGTTTGCAAAACCGTCACGCTTCGAAGGTCTTCATAATCTCGATACATACATGGACTACTTGTCACTTTATTGTTTCCAAATGTCAACTTACTGGGTTATGCGTATATATAACATACAGTCGAACTTCTCTGCAACGGCCACCTTGGTGACAGAGGAAAGTGGCTGTTGTAGAGAGGTGGCCGTTTTGGGAGGAAGGGGTGTAAGATGACACCTGTTCTTTTCGGGGGCAAAAGATTTAGATTTTCTAAAAGTGTTTATTTTGGCCTATAAATAAGTAACACCATCACTTACATCAATAAAACACAAACTAAGCAGAGACAGACACCAACGACGCGTAGTATGGATCAAGTTTGGTGACCTCCAATAAAAAGTGTGTTTTTGAATTCACCGTTCGTCAGAAATTAATTAGCTGGCCGTTGTCGAGAGGTTATTTTGTCAGCTGGTACAGGTTTTAGGGGCCGTTGCCGTTGTGGAGAGGTGAGCGTTGTAGAGAGGTCAAAACAAGAGTGAATATATCACGTGACGTTCAACCGGGACCAACAAAAATGGCCATTGTAGAGAGGTTGTCGTTGCAGAGAGTTGACCGTTGTAGAAAAGTGGCCTTTGAAGAGAGGTAGCCGTTAATAGAGGTTCGATTATAGTTATTTAAATCACGAAATGAGACCTTCGCATTTCGAAACTTGACAATGGCATATTGCTGTTATATACAATAATCAAACGGAAAGACTCAGCGACCTATACTAAAACTGACGAAACGAGAGACTTAACCAGGGTTTTCTAGCGGCCGGAAAAGGACAATTGTAATAATCTGAAAAAAATAACAACAGCAATAAGAAAGACCCGGGAGTGTTTCAAGGACAGTTGTCCCCCACCCTCTCCCCCTCAAAGGCAAGAAACATCATCATCATCATTATCTTTAGTTAAAAACACGGTAAATACATCAGGCATTAACAATTTAATATAAAAGCTACAACTTATTACGAAAGACTATGTGTACAGATAATTCTTCTATAATTTAAAACCGGACAAACCATGGAATAAGTTCCATATTTCAGCCGAATTGCCTTTCAATCGTGGATCTATTGCACTAATTCTGACAGGGTCTGCCAAACTTACCTACAGAAATTTCACAACTGCATATCTCTGAAAGTGTTGATACATTTCGTTGATTTGGAGTGAGCTTTGAATGACGCTATAGAGGAAATATCTCCAATGTATGGCTTTGGAGACCAGGAGGACTCGCGAAATTCACAGTAATTAAAAATAGCATTGAAATTTAAATCAGTTCAATCAGAAGAGTAGTGAAGAGTATTTACAATGTGAAATGTGATTCTATCCTCACCACGACGATCAAACTACACGAGCTACGAGTACACATTAAAGTTTGTTTCCCAGACTGGTATCGTTTGTTACACATTCAATTTTCTTCACCCATAATTAGAAAAATTTGATTCGTTTTTCACCTCGTAGCGTTCCTCAAAACACTTACGAATCCGGTTGTGTTTAAAGTGCATTTTCATTGTCCCATGTTAGAGGGGTGGAGCTCTCCTCAAAAATTTTGAATCTCCTAAATAAAACCAATCTTTCTATGACACAGGCTTTATTGCAACCCCCAAAAAACACTATAACATTAAAAAAAATGCTGAGAGATAATAATTAACGCGACTTTATAATTACAATCAAATATTACCATTGAATGTTGCCATTAAGAATGCATGACTAATTTATCCAAAGCAACAATACAGAAAGATTGCGTGTTTTTTCTTCACGTGTTACCATCAAGACAGTAGTTGATGCTGAGCATATTGATGGTTCTATCCATTCTAAAATCCCTAATTGATGCTAAACTTTACAGCCCTAAAATAACTCACGAGTATCCCTTCTGTCATGTGGGAGTCTAAGCACTCGTCGCTCCTCCTAAGTAATTATATGAATAAACAAAAAAAAGAGAACGTTAAACTTACGATATTGTTATATCTGACTTCACGTTAGAATAACAGTTTGTCTGTCAACATGATCAGCATGGCAATGACTGCAAACAGGCCACCGTTACCGTGAGAAATTCGAGTGGCACCACTCCAAGGAGGCTTATTTGAAACTGCAAGTGTCCGGGTTTTGACACATGATTTATCGGAGCACACAGCCAAAGACTTGATCCAAACATTGTATCCATCCACCTGCAGTCGAAGAGTACCCTTTTTTACGGCTGAAGCAAAGTCGTTAACAGTCTGTTCGAAGCTAACTGATTCGATGGGAGCAGTGACGATACCCAGGGCTTTTATGTCTGCCATGGCTATGACGATGTCCACATTACTAAGACTAACCCAATTTGAAGTGTAGGCGAGCCAGTCCATCACATCCGTGTTCCATTTCAATTCACTTGCAATGGCCGAACCAACTCCATCAGCGAACCGACTTAAAATATCAACATTTGTAAGGGAATCTGGCGAACGCCTCTTTCGTCGCATAAGATTTTCTACATTTAGCTTCAAAAGTTTGATCACATTCTTTAAGTTTCGTTCGAAACACTCCTCTTGGTTGCTTGGCGAAGTACATTGGGTTCCTATGTTCCACAATCCCTTTAGAGACTCCCAAGCTGTATCTAGCTTGACGAACGATGCCTTGATTGCCCAAAATATCTTGAAGTGGTCCCAACAAAAGACGTCACAAATCGACTTCGCTCCTTCACCTGGATTCAAGTAGCACTGGGTGTAAGAAGCAAGAGCTTGCTCTCTTATTTCGTTACAAGTTTGATCTTCTGAGTCCCTCAGCAATGGTACCATAGCAACCTGCTGACATTTACGGACAGCTTCCATCCACTTCCGCGCGTCTGGACTTATTTTGGCTTTTTGTTCTTCGAACACTCTGCAGAACCTCTCGGCATATCTTATGACGTAAGCATTGCCTGAGGGTTTGCAAAGAATTCTCTTTTCAAAGCAATTACGATACCAATAACAGGAATCTCCAGCAGGGCTGTAGCACTCTTGAGGCGGGATGATACTGGAAGGGGCCTGCGGGTATATAGTACAGGTGCAATCGTCTGACACTGAGCCAGAACTTTGGCGATGCAGCTCGAACATGCAAGGGTACCAGCAATAGTGTCGAGTGCGGTCTGCACAGATGTGATCGCGGTCACTTTTTTCTAGGATATGGTCTGATGTCAGGCAGGTTGCCCACTGATACTCTCCCTGGTAACCCTCGATTTTTAAGCATTCGATGAGACCTGTCGGGCCTTTATCTTTGTCACAAACCTCACTGGCCCATCCACTCGGAACCCCAAGAAGCAACAGGAAAGTGAAAACCCGCATTTCACGCCGAGATGGACCTGTTAACTGTCAATGGAAAATAGCTAAGATGAGGGTCTCGTCCGCAGTACGGTTTTCGCTATGATGCGAAATGGCACTACAGGTAAGAGTCAATGTGGGATACGGTTGTCTGTAAGGGTAACCCTTGCAGTTGTTGAGAGCTAACCACTGCCGAGTCAGTGATATTTAGGCTAACCTGATCGCTATTTAGGCTAACTGTAGTGCCATTTCACCGTTGCGTGTTTTAAACACGAACCCTGCGATCAGGCGTTGGTTTTTTTTCTTTTTTTTTTTTTGGCGAATCGGGGAAGAGGAAAACTGAACGCCAGATACATTTACTTCACGAGTCGTCTGCAGCCCGTTCGCCTTCCCCTAGCTGTTAAAAAGAACGCCTGATCGCAGGTTAGCTAAAACGTATATTATCAATCATAAACACCAATGCTGCTGTAATTAAAATCTCTCGGTTTGCTTAAGGGCATTAACTGAAACACAAATTCTACCATTTTGGAGTCGTACCTTCATTTTTTAAGTGATTTATGTTCCAAATACTCCGGGGATTCGTTACTGATTTCATGAATCTCTAGACAGCTAATTATAAGCAGAAACGTCATCTAGGTAAAAAAAATAGGTCCGCAATGCGAACTTGTGTGGGATCTCAGTCAAATACAAGTTGATGCGCTATGGATAAATCAGAGAAATTGTAGCTTTACAGTGAATATTTTTATATTTTGTCATCTTGTAGTGATGAATGTCGAGTAAAGATAAGACCTCAAGCTGCAGCCGAAAAAACGGTTACAGGAGAATTGAAACATGTCTGGACTTTAGTTTCCAGGAAATTTGCTCTCTTAGGGTTCGGTTACACGGGGCTCTTTTTACCGTGGTAAATGACCCTTTTACCACGGGGAAACTGCGCTCTTAGCGAGTATGACCAATATTTCCGGAGGTAATATCCATGGATACGTCAAAAAGATCACATGCAGCGCCTTGACATTTAATGCGGTGAGTTGCAATGGTGTTTTGATGTCCAAGGTATAAGAGCAAATCACGATTCTCCGTTTGACATTAATACGTAACCGAAAAGGAAAAATAGTTTTCCTCCGTGTCCCATTTTTGTTACCTTGGCAAAATCCCGTGTAAACCGTTGGTTCATAATGTATACTAAACCTCCCCCCCCCCCCCAAAAAAAAAAAA